AAAAAAAAAAAAAGCATAAATTACTGTTAATATTAATTCACAATAGCAACCATTTAGCAGACTTGGATCATTTCAAGCATCTTAAAGATGGCTAATACTGATTAATACTAATGCCCCTGTTTCTAACAATAGCAAGGTGACCCGGCAGCTATTAATGTTCATATGTTAATATGGTTGTTGGTAGTTAAATCAGGTTCTGCTTATTTTATCTGGCATATTACTTTTCTTGATCCATATTTTGCCTGTTATCGTCTTAACGTCATACAATATGTAACCTTTCTCAAAATCGCGAAGGACCTCCACTGATACCTCGTCAAAGTTTTTTTTTTTATTTACTAGAAGGTCAGAGTAGAATTCAGATCATTCTTTTTCTGAGGTTCTCATGATGCAGCAGCAGGACTTGAGATACGAACAAGCATTTCTTGAGTGGGAATTCTAGGTAAATTGCACACTTTGACTGATGTTTGACTAAATAAATGCTTAATGTCATGGCTCACTCACATCGCTGAAAATTCCTGGTCACAGTGAAATGTTCTTACAGAAGTAAAATTCCTATTATATATAGAACATTAGTCTATAAAGTATTTTGGGGATTGTTCCTGGTAGTTTTCAAACAACTTGAGCAAGACTCCAATTTGCATTCACTAATCTGAAAAATAAGATCTGACACTTTGGGAATACCTTTTTTTTTTGGAAAACAAAATGTTTGGTGTTTTGTATTTGCACACATATGGGAAAACCTTTTATCATTGACTTGACTGATGATCCCGCAGAACAGTAATGAACATGCACTCTTTGTTGATGCGTAAATTCCTCTTTTTGTACTTGTGCCAGTCTCTCTAACGCATCAATGGCCTGTTGAACAGTTGATTTTGTGGGGGTAGATCTCGCTGCTTGCTGCAGATAACTCAGATGACCTGTTTTTTAAACTTGCCAGCAAGGCCCTTCAAGGCTCTGTTGGGCCTCCTTCTACTCCATCTCCAACCTCCTGAAGGCACAAGCCTCTTGAGAGTGTTGGAGGGTGGAGTTTGCGGCCCCAAGCCACGGGAGAAACCATGGCGGCCAGTGGATGACCCTCAAGCGTCACCAGCCCCAGAATGTCGCTCCATGCTGGGATGTCAGACTGGTTTCTGCATAAAATGTGACTGTCTGTTGATTTATTCCTTGTCATGATCTTCTGCTCTGCTCCCTCTCCACAGAGAAACCACGGCTGAACAGGATTCTTACCTCACAGACCGAGCCCTACGATCTCTCCTTCTCCCGCTCCTTCCAAAACCTCGCCCATTCGCCCCCCTCCTTCGAGATGCCGATGAAATCCGACTTAAGTAAATATTCTTCACTCAAGACTTTAAGTCGGTGTTCTTTGATTAAATATGCCGCAATCTCTTCCCCACTGGCTATGCCCTGAGGAGAAAGATCATTGCCTTACTTAATGAATGAACACACAAGGCCATAGTTCAACGTCCTACGTGTTTGGCCAGAAAAGCATCACAGCCCAATCTGTAAGAAACTGTAAGAAAATATCAAATTGAACTGAAACCTCCACAAGCCTGTTCAGGGTAACCAGTTGGAAGATGACTGCATGAAATATTACAGGTACTACTTAAAATGACCAGCAGCATCTCACCTATCAGAAGTGCATAATACTATCTATCCACAGCAGTAAGTGGCTTAAGTGAGGATTTCTTACTACCAGTCAAACAATCCCTTTACCCCCAAAAGCATACGAATCAGGCGAATAAGGACAGCTACACAGCTTCAAAAAAACCAACAACGGCCTGCAGGAAAATCGCCAAAACCCAACACTGTGTTTTTTTGCTAAATTTAATACATATTGTACTTCTCTCTTGTTCAGAGGGCTTTCAGCTAATGGTCCCTTCAAGGACATTATAAATTGCCTTGTTTTAAACCTTTCAATGGAGCCCACGAGATTTGGAACCCTCAAATTACCAACTGCTAACTAGTTAAAATGGCAAACTTATTCTGAACATGCAGTCCTAAATATCTTTCAATTGGTAAGCTACAAAAAAGGGACTCATCATTTTATTTGCTCTTAAATTATCTCTGAAGACATTAAAAAGCCAAAACTTTAGTATATGTACTATTTTATCTCATGCACTCCAAAACAGTTTCATTTCATTTCACACATTTTACTCACAAATTCTTTTTAATCTGTCAATAATAAGGTAAATAGGTTCCAAACATTGTTCCCATTGTTGTGTTTCCAGATTAGGGGATTATAAAAGTTTAAATACAATTCTTGTTTGTTGACAATCCATCTCTGTGCCTAATCATTCACAGTCAACAGGATGTTGTTTAAAGTCTTGATTCTGATACCCAGAATATGAGAAGTTATTTGTTTTTTAAAAGAGATTTTCCCCCATGTATAACTAAAGACTAGACATTTTACACATCTGATCATGGACTAAACGGCTACACCCTGTGCTACACCCTGTGCTACACGCTGCGATACACCCTGCGCTACAACCTGCGCTACACCTCTACACCCTCCTCTACACCCTGCGATACACCCTGCGCTACACCCTCCTCTACACCCTGCGATACACCCTCCACTACACCCTGCGATACACCCTGCGATACACCCTCCGCTACACCCTGCGCTACACCCTGTGATACACCCTCCTCTACACCCTGCGCTACACCCTGCGATACACCCTGTGCTACACCCTGCTCTACACCCTGTGCTACACCATTCTTCAACATGTAAGAGTAGAGAAAAATTAAGTATTTAAAACCATGATAAGACAGTACTAAGAAATGTTTCTTGACCTTATGCTATGTCCCTCCACACAGGTGACAAGGACTTAGATGACTACTATCCACGGAAGCACCATTTACCAGAGCTGCCACCGCGAGGAATGCTGCCTCTGCACATGGACCAGCAGGTGGCGCCCCCGAGGCAGCGCCCTCGCCGCGTGCAGCGCGCCATGTCCCAGGACCACGTGCTGTCACCCGAGAGGGCACCCCCACGCGACTACGGCCTCCCGTCTTTCACCCTCTCCCCTTACCACGGCCGCATCCTGTCAGAGGAGCAGCTACTGTCAGCTGAGCGTCTCCAATCCCAGGATCCCCTGCTCTCCCCTGAGAAGATGCTGACTCTGCGTCGCCACGGCCACCGGGACAAGGTCATGTCCCGCGCCATGTCCCACGCCGACATGCTCATGCCCACCACGCCCGTCATGGACCGGCACGTGAAAAAGATACATTTAGAACCCACTCCCTCTATCGATACGTACAACACCCTGACGGTGAACCAGTGCACCTCCAAGAGGCAGGCCTTCGCCTCACGACGGACGCACACGGTGGATCACCTGCAATACATCCCCGGCCACCATCACCACTACCAACGCACCGCCAGCAAGACAGAGGTGACCGTCTGAGATTACGGAGGCGGGAGCAGGGGTTGGAGGGCGTCGGTGAGGAGTACGATTGCCAGGAGTAGCACCCTGGTGCGTCTCCTGGGTGCCACAATCTCATTGGCCAAGTATGTCTCACACTTCCAAAGGTCAGACATGCTAAAACTAACCGACAATAAAATGCATTATTTTTTCAGCACCAGCTTTCCGGTTTATCGCACGAATAAAAAATGAAATAAAGCAGTTTTTTTGACGAAGGCTGCACCCTACACACTTAGGGTGTCTTACAAGGGCTTTAGAAGGCTGGCACGGGAAGAATGGTACAGCTCGTCTCTGTGGTTCACAGTGTGAGGAGTGATATCGTACCGACGCAGAACTAGCACCAAACGTATTAAACTACAAACAGGTGCACTTCACATACCTCCCGTCCGCCTCAACACACTCCATTTAAATAGCAGAATAGCTCAGTGGGTTAAAAAGCACAACCTATTGAACTTTTTTTTAAAGAAAAAAAAAATAAACTATTCTTTCAATTACTTTTCTCTCTCGATATTGGCCAGCACATATCCGCTAATAATTAGACAATTATGAAATAATTTCCTTCAGGCAGACGATTGTAAATAGGCTATATTAGCAGATGGTACGAGGGGTTTGGGATGAGGGGGTCACTAATGAAATGTGTTCTTCACAGATACTGACTGCAGTTTCCTACACAGCACAAAGCTTCATTAGAGGATAGTGGTGTGCGTGACGTGTAAAATGTTAAGAGACTGGGAAGCGGATGAACTGAGCCAACATCAAAGTACACCGTAGCGCAACATCTTAACACCTCTGCTAACAATTTTTTTTAATAATCACATTGTAACCATGCATCTCTTGTATGAAACACTGTAATGTATGTGCTTGGTTGGGACCACTGCGTTCATTTGTACATTTTGATAAGTCTGGTGTATATAAACTTAAAATCGAACTCGAAACGGAATAATTGCTGTCGTGAAATGGTCACATTTGTCGAAGCCGTCCTGTGTAACGATCGAAGAAAATGTCAACTCAATTAGCGTAGTGAAGAGAAGATTTAAACTGTGAGTAGTTTGTTCCGATGTTTTCATTACGAAGCAATGCCTTATCTCGTGGGATCTCATAAGCCAGTGGATTTTTTAGTCACGTGTTTCGTCCTTTCACGTTTTCATCGTTAATTTCCTAGACTTGCTTCTCATCTTCACTTTCCAGCTTTGAGAAATTACGTAAAGTTGTACCAGCAACATTTAGACAAAATAAGCGATATACCTCAGACTTTTTGGAAACGACTGATGTTAAGATGGTTTACGTTACGTGAAGTTGTGGGAGGGGGTGTTTTAAACCCTTTAATATTTCTACAATTTTTTTAAATGTGGATTCATCCAAAATAGCGTTTGACATGCGTGGCCAAAACTACAACGTAATCTAATATTTTTCCAGAAAAGAACAGTTCTTAGCTTCAGTAAAAAAGAGATTACTGTATTATTTCTATAACATTTTGGGAACATGTTAATAAGCACTTGAAATTAGGATCTTTGAATATCCCCACATATTTCTGAGCCATTATGAATTATTATGTATGTATCTGCATTTGCAGACATGCAAATACACTGCAACAGTGACGTAAACCCAGTTAAGCCCGTGAGTATCATGGTGCTTCCTGCCTCGAATCAGTACGTCCCGATACCCCAAGCAGACATTCATATTCAGATCGGGGCCAGAAATCCGTAACTGTCAGCAAGAACTGATGACTTACGCAAAAGAGACGGAGGGAAAGACTGTGAATGTGTTTCGCGGATAATGAGCATCACTGGGCAGCACAGGCAGGCTGGTGCGATTTTGTGGCGTCATGAACTCTCTGCTCCTCGCGCTTAGTGTGCTACTAGTGATCATTTTAGATCCACACTTCTAAAGGGATTTGCTTTGTAGTTTTTTCACTTATTAGAACTTCTGTAGGAAGCACTCACTTGCATTAAAAAAAAACTTAATAGTACTGTAACAATTTTCCTTTGAGGACAATGCCTCCATTATGGGGTAACGTGATATGTTTGTGTTTAGGTCCACTTACAGACTCTGTGTTTATAGTAGTACTGATGACGAAGTATCTTTGTATCTGTGACTTTGCACAAATATGGGTTACTCATTGAACGAACTTCTACACGAGCTGCAAATTACTGTTTTTTTGCGATGTTCCTGCTCTGATTTACTCATAACAGTGCATTCTGTATATACCGTATAAAACCATAACCAATTTAGTAATCAGCCTATAAAGAACAACTTTTTTCCCAATTCTATCATTTATTTATGGATCAGAAATAAAGGAGATCAAGCTATTTCTGAAGTGAATTGTTAACTACCTGCAAAAAAGATTAAATAAACATGGACAAACTGCAGAACAATTTTACAAAGGTGTGTCGACCCTAAAATGCGCTGCCTTTCCATCTACTGCGGAAGAAAACGTGGATCGGCGGGGTTCATTTGGAACAAACGAACACATCATGGTAACTAAACCCCTTGGAACTAATGAGCGATGGCGAAATTCGACTGTATTTGCCGCATCGCAGATGGCGGATCACGGCGCTGCTGGACAGGAGCGTCAAGGTCCAGAGTCTCACCCGGCTGTGGAGAGCAACGCACTAAAGCAGGATATTTTAATATTGGATATTGGGATGAAACTTAAATGGAACGTCCTTCTATATCTACCAAAATGTTAGAATAACAATATTAATTGTTTCAGCAGGTAATTATGATGTCAGATATTGAAATAATTATGTCATATAATCCAATAGTCTTTTGAAGACTTGATGTCGTTTTTGCAAATAAAACCACGGTTCATATTACGCCTGGGTTTATGACCGGATGTGTTCCTTAACAGGGCAGAAGGTGCTTGATGTTAGGATTCAGCTTTTGTTTTCTGAGAGAAGTAGGCCTACCTGTTTTGTGATCGTACATAATTAAACTGGGCAACAACAGCGCAGGGCAAGCCGCTCCGTCGGCGGCTTTCTGCGAGAGCGTCACTGAACGTGTGCACAAACACGCCCTGCATTTCTTCACAGAGCTTCATAAACTCCATAAAGTTACACTTTTTTCCCATAAGTTGGAAGGAAATTAGATATTTATTTATTTGTTTGTTTGTTTGTTTGTTTACCAGCTAAAGCGACTCAGGTTAAGTATCTTGCTTAAATGCATGTACATAACAAAGAGATGGTTGATATAATTTTCACTGTGTGAGTAAACGATTTTATTGCTATTCACATCGTAAAGGGTTTTGCAGATAGAATCGCACATTTTACTTTCTTTGAAAAATGGCATTCTCGGGGAAAAAAAACCCTTTTCACACAGACAAAACATTTAATCTAGTCAAAGAGGAAGAGCTATCTCCGAGAAATATGTGCTGAAAGTGCTGGGTAAAGATACGAAGGGAAAACGATTCCGGTCCTCAAAGCAAACAGCGGCAGTTCGGACTAGAGGAAGCCGCCGCGACTCGGCTATTAATCACGGAAGATGACGCGGACGGAGGCTCCCGGACTCTCATTGGCAGTAACCAACCAAAGGCAAAACAGGAGGGGGTCTTTCTGTGACTCCATCAACCATTTATGATCATAAACAGGAATTGCAGTCTTACAGGTAGAAACGTCGCATCACTGGGGTCTGCCCTACGAATGGCATTAATTAACATTATTTTCAGTTACTACTCTTGTTAACACCTGAAGAAGTAGTTTAAGCCGCTTCAGAAGTTGAAAACTGACTGCTCAGCCAAAAAGATGACCATTGTCAGTGAATTGCTGAGAACAACAATGAAATTGCGATGGTATTCCCTGATTTAACAGGTCCAAGACAGGTAAACAACAATATGGTTAACTGGAACTAGTAGTTGCCTCATATAGATATACACTCTCAGAAAAGAGGGTAAAAATTGTACCTTTGCTTGTCACTGGGGCTGTACCCTTAACTGTAGGTAATTGTACCTTTCAAGGGACAGAAATGGACTCTGAGGAACATTTTTGTACCATCGATGGGAAATGAATGCTGTTTGTTCCTTTGGGATGTCCATTTCTGAACCTTAAAAAGGTACAATTATAAATGTGCAGGCCCAGTGACAAGCAAAGGTACAAATTGGTACCCCTTTTTCAAAGTGTACTTGTTGATCTACTGCTTTTCCTACAATCCGTCGACCCACTACAAATATTTTTGCTACATTAAAGAAATTATTCATCAGTATGAGTTAATTTTGATAAGACACAGGAGAAATGGAACGAAAAAGAAACATAAGGGAATTTTAACTGCATTATGACGTGTCCAAGAAACACACGGTTTGATCAAAGCCAGCTAATCATTTTGCCGACAATTTCTCTCAATTCCGGTGGATCATGCTGCTAGTTAAACTGCGAATTGATTATAATTTGCACCGCTGCGCTGACATTTGTCTTCCGCTGAATAAGAGCCCGGATGCTGCTGTGATTTCTGTCGGAGATATTCGTGTTGCGTTTATGGCTGAATGTGAAGTTTGCGAATTGCTCTGCAGGGATGCGTCAGACATATCAGTTAGATGTCCTGTATAATCTCATATTACGCAATTTTTAAATCCGAGTCTTCTCTAACAGGAAGAGAGCAAGGAGGGAATAGACCCTGCAGAAACACACCTTTAATGCTACAGGGATATTTTGAGACAGATTCCCCACGCATAGGGAGAAATATGCAGATGAATTAAACTTTCATAGTAAAGCCTAACTACTAACCTTTCACAATAGGAATACCCAAACCATACTTACCCTATATGGACATATTGATAGGTGTACCAGTTTGCCGATAATACTAGGTAACTTGTGTCATTTCACAAACATCGTAATATAGCATCCCTGCTCCCAGTCGCTTAAGATGGAAACGTTAAGAAAAGTTACGGTCCGCTTCAGTCTCAGCAGTTACTGATGTGATTGGCTATAATCAGATGGTTCTCAGGTGATCACTCAGGTTCTCCAGTTATTAGATACTAATTAAAATTAGTATCTAATAAGTACTTTGCCGTTAACGATTAGCACGGTACACAAGTACAAAAGCTATGAACGACGGCAGGCTTTCAAACAAATGAGCTTTCATAAAGATTAATATTTTATTGTTTTATACCTACTGTACGCTTAAGTTTCACAGTTTTGGAGTACCTGTGTAACAAATACCGGGAATGCCTTTAAAGAATATTTTCTGCATATTAGACACATACCGAATCCAGGCTGAAATAATTTAAATTACTTTCGTATGAGAAAAGCATAATTTACATATGAAGACGGATTACAGATAAACCTTCTGTATGGTCCTGTAATCATCTACATATGGATACATTGTCGCAGTCGCCGTTTGCTTTTTGATACCATTTTGTACTGCGCTCCACAAATATACAGGTTTATACAAAATGTTATGCGTGTGCCAAAAAAAATACATATAATGGTCATTTTTGGGCACCTTAGTAGGACCCCATTTGCGTTTAAACGACACATATTCCACATGACTTTCACGTTTTGATTGTTCAGCAACTTTTTCCTTTTTTTTGTAATTGACGCCATTCTAGTTAAGCACCTTTTCCCCCCTCTTGTAGCAACCTAGATTTATGCAACTGATGCTCAGGACTCGCATTCAGTCACACTCCGTAGGAGCATTACTGCCCCCTGGAGGAAGGAGACAAATTGCACAGCAAAAGCTCAACTCGTGAAAATGGCAACATCCTTGAATTTTCTTGCAAAAACAAAAAAAAATCTTTAAAAACAGCCTACATACAAAGAGGCAAAAAAGAAATGAATCTGCTTTATTAACAAGCAAAGCCACAAAATTATAAAGAATCTACAAGCAATATATCAGCTTAAATTAAATGCATCTGGTCACATCCATTTCATTTGTTATCATTAGTTCAACTAATCAAGTCTCTTGTGTGCTAAACATGCAGCCGTCACAGCACTCGTCCCGCTAAGCTAGCTGGCTTTCAGCCTTTTGCTCTCCAATTCCTGGCTGGCCTCCTCCAGCTCCCGTTTGCTCCCGTTTCCTGTCTCGGCGTCCCTCTGCCGCAGGTCTCGCCGCTCCCGCTTCTCCCTCCGCTCCTCCATCTCGCCGATCTCCTCCGCGAACAGGGCTTTCAGCGAGGGCACCATCTTCGGGATGATGCCCACATCGCCCAGACCCACCTGTGAAAGTACGGGATAATAACGTGAAATGATGAAGGCCATGAGGATGCTTTTAAGCTTCAAAGAGCTGCATCTGAACCACGAGTCAGTGGGGAACCTCAACCTGGCGAATGACAGGTTGAAGCTACCACGGCCATCTCCATCATGAATTTAAGTGGGCGGGGACTCATGCAGTTGGATGAAGTCTGCTGATGAAAACCCATCATGCAATCAGCATCAGCAGTTCCTGGCCTTCACCCTCTTTGCCCAATCAAAAGGTAGGAACGCCAGCTTCTGGACTTCAAGACTGAACCAACCCTCAGTTTTCCCACTACTATGTCCGAGGAGGAAATTCCCTCAATTTCTGAGGGATTCGCCAGCCTGACGGAAGCAGTTCTCACACTGAAATCCACGCCTCACAATCAGGCAGGAGCCCAGCTTTAAAAAAGCAACACTCAATCCTCAGAAGTGGCACAGTCACAAAATTCGTATCATGCAACAGACTCATAAACAAACTGGAAACCTCATCAGAATCAACACCAAGCCCGGCTCGTCACGCAGCAGAACAAGGCCGTCTGAAGCCTGAGACTCGCCAGTCGCTCGCTCACCTTCATGTGGTCGAAGGATATGCCCACTCGGTCGTTGAAGTCGGCGTTGAACAGGGGGATCTTGGCGTACCTCTGGCTGAAGTGGTTCAGCATGATGAACTCTGCGTTCATCTTCATGCCGACGTCAATCGCCTGAGATGTCGTGCTACGATTGAAGCCAATTCTGTCACTTCTCGGGTCACTTCATTCAATTGCTGCCTTTACCACCCTAGTGGTACCAAATGGAACTGAGGTCCATTCAAACTACCAAGAACATTAAGTATCTTCAGCAATTTTCCTTACAAGTACAACATAGGCTTCTTACTTCACTATGGTAACAGGGGCTCCATTCTCATACCGAAAGACACTCAAATAGCGGAAACTACACAAAGCATTAAATCCTTCATACATACTCTTAACCAGAGGCAGAAAGTTAAGGTCCAGAAAGTACAAATCCAGATCAAGGTTTTGTTTCAATCAACCCGTTGAGTGTAGAGTCACATTTACAGAGCACTCAACTCATTGGCTGCAACAAAATCTCGGTCTGGATTTTCACTTTCTGGACCCGAACTTTCCGCCTCTGCATTTGCCTAGATAACCTGCTCCATTAGGGAAAGGTTTCAGGTGGCATGTAAGCACCTGTGCCGCTTGTCCCTGGCCTCCTCCTCCATTCCGTCCTCCAGCGTGGCCTCGTGGATCAGCAGAGTGGCGCCCTTCCCTTGGGAAACAATTGCAGCCGTGTCACTAAATGCCACACCCTGTGACCGACGCCCACTTCACACTAGCAACCAATCGCTAACCCCGAAGCCAGGCGCTGCGCACGGAGGAACGCACTTCCTCTTCTTTGCACACGAAAAGCTATTATCGCAAATACAGAAGCTGAGAGAAAGCTGGCCGTATACTTCTGACGAAAAATCAACGACGTTTTGGCAACATGACGTCGTATGATGGTTGGTCAGCAGGACTAATTATGCAGTTTCCAGCATGCTTTGCAGAGCGCTTTAAATACAGTAAAT